CTGGGCCTATAACCCCAAAATACTAGGATTCATATAAGAAACCCCAGAAAAAGGTCCAAGGTTTCTCAATCAGGTTCCTACATTATTTAAAGTGCCCTTCTAGATCCCTTATAGTAACCTCTGTAGACCCCTTTAACGGAACCCGAAGAAATGCCCAAGGTTCCTACTTTAAACCCTCAAATCCTGGCAAGCTCCAGGCCAAATCGATTTTCCAGAGCTTCCCAGGGCCCTGGGCATGGCCTTGGTCAAACCCCAGGAACCGACCGATGGAAGAAGGCTTTTAGGGCCTCTAAAGGAAGGATAAGGGTTCCTATATTATGAGGGTTATGTAAATGGTTCAGAGTCTTGGGGTAGGGTTGTAGGGTTTCGGGGGGTGGTTCAGGGTTTAGCGGTTCAGGCTTCGGTATAGGAATAAGGCTTTGGGTTTAAAGGTATAGGGTTCATTTGGGTTTAGGGGCTATGTCTTAGAGGCTTCGGCGAGGGTTTATGGTTTTTCTAGGTCAAGAGTCAAGAGGGCACCATAAACGGCTTATAGCCCCTAATGAGCGCTTTGAATTTGGGGAGGTTTGAGAGAACACTAAACCAGGTACTGGTAGTACAGGGGTTGTATAACTGTTCATAAAGGCTCTTTGTGCGAGTATTTCTTTATCCGAGTGATCTAGTAAGGTCCCCGTATAACCACGCCCAACATGGCATTCCGTGGCCTCGAGAACAGCTACAACTCCAGTGCTTTGGGGTCTTCTGTCTCTCTGTTTGCTTCTGAAACAGGTATTCCGCTTGCAGGCACAGAGGCAGATACATACATATAGCTGAGAAAGATATAGCTGGCATAACATAATGCATGACTGATCGACTATCTTTCTTAAGCGGAACATGGGCGGTTGCTTGCTGTTACGGAAGAACTTGGCATTGGCAAACTTGGCAAGCTACGAAGTCCAATCTGTAACACATCTCCACGGGGTGACATTCGGTGCATGACCTGGGCCCCAAGCCCTGACCTTTAAAATTTCAAAGCTAAGCCCTCAATTCAAGAATCATCCATGCATCATCACAACAAGCTGATTCAAGCTTGTCTGAATTGAAGGTTCTGTATGGCTCTCTGTGGATCTGACACGAGGAGCCGAGTACAGAACCCTGTCGAAACCAACTCTAGAGCCCGTCTGCCCGTTCCAAGCGGGCGCACCAGCGCCAAACAGAAGAGCTTCATGGCGGCTAAAATTCAACCCTGCAAGCCCTGAAACCAGGCACTCTCAAGGAAAATACCTCCAAGGGCTGTTGTAGGTCTCCTTGTAGGACTATGCCTGCAACTCCGCCTGGTCCTGGTTAACCCTACAAGCCCCGAAGTCTTGCGAAGTTGAGATCTGGAACTCTGTAGCCAATGAAAAGTGGAGCACACGCGAGCTCTACCTTACAACTCGACCCGGGTTTCTTCAGCCAAGGCTTTGCGAATGCTCGGCGGAGGTCGGAAGTGAATGTGAATGTTTTCTCAGGCTTGCAAGCCCTCGGTTTACCAGCATCAAGCTTCGGCACTCACCGTCACTACCACCAACTGTGTTTGAGCAGCTGCTGAGCTGACGGCACGGCGAGCAGACGCTCGCAACCAAGTGCAAGGAAGCTGGGGCTGCATCATCCCAGAAGTAATCCACACTATCGCCTCTTCTCTGACCCCTTCTTAAGCAGCGCTGCCATCAGACTTTATAGATGCCTTCAGGATCCTTCAGGTCTTGACTTGCCTCGAGTCGGGCAAGTTAGACAAGCACCTTCTTCTGCCCGAAAGGCCTGTATTAGTCATGGCCCTCTCCAAGCCTTGCGCAGTACTCTTCGTGATGAAGGAGGATAAAAACATACTCCACAAGGTTGCAGGCTACTTGATCAACTACTAGGTAGACCACGCTACCAGCACGGCATTGCAAATGACCGGCGAGGGAGCCTTGGAGTATACCATCATCGATCCCCAGCCTCGCAAAGTGCAGTCAGTGCTCTGACTTTTTGACTTCAGTATCACTTTTTGACTTCGATATCAGGGTTTGTTGCATGATGGCATGGGCTTGCAGCTTTGGTGAGGTTGCACTTCTAAGAAACAGTTCGTTCCGAAAGCATGGGATAAGCTTGAATCTGCACGTCCAGGAGGCTGGGAAAATGTCTGAACGCAGGAAAGCCCAGAGAAGAGCCCATCTCCCCGTAGAGTAGAAAACATGCTGTAGCTCTGTTTTGCTTCTGCGTATGATTTAAGGAGTGTTACTTGACAATATCGGCTCTCCAGGCAGTCTTAGCTCAAACCTTCAGCTGAGAGAACCGCGAACCAAGTATCGGACATGAACGACATTTTTGAAGATCACATTCCGAGTTGGTTTGGTCTACAACTTACAGAGTATACTAGCGACCAGTTCTTGAAGCCCACGTGCCTCTTCAACATGGAAGTCTTGCAGAAGTCTGACGTTTGAGGATGAATGCAAACCTACACGCGGGGCGACGGTGAGTGCAGGCTGCGAAAGCAAGAGTTTGACGACTTCCTGAACCTGCTGAACACGCACTCTTTCGACTCCCTTGTGCCGAGACGGATTGAAGCGATGCTTCCCGGACCCTATGCGCTAAACCCTACACGCTTCCGCATATAGCTCTGACCATCCACTCATTGCTAGTATCATTCACACCTGTTCCAAATTGCCAGCCTTCTTCCATACCGAAGCCTTAATCATGCAAGCCCTTAAGCCTAAAGCCACTGAATCACATCCCATCGGGATAACGAAACGAGCTATTCAACCCGACCAATATTCCCGCACTACCTAAATGCCAAGGCTTCCAGAAATCGATACTTGGAGACTGGAAAGGCAAGGACCAAAATAGGTCATGCGGACCCCGACGGACTCCCTTCTCAGAAGCCCTTGGTGCTAAGAGGATTACTCCGAAATTTGACACTCAACCTGTCGTTTCCCATGTGCCGGGCCGATGTAAACGGGTTTTTCACCTGCATTGATGAAGTCCGTGCAGGCCTGCTGAGCGGGAAAGGCCAAGGATGCTTCTACTGACTGACGACTGTGACTTGCGGTGTAACAATAGGTTATGGGGACTATTATTGGGGATGATATAGGGACTACTATAGAGATCCATCCCTACATTCCTCAACATTCCATGCGATGTGGGCGATGCCCCCTAGAAGGCCGGATGCTGCAGCAAAACTGACAAGGACTCCTGGGGAGTCTACTCTTCAGGCTTTCCCTCGACCCGAAAGCCTTTATATGGCTGCAAATCAGGTCCGTACATTCAAAAACATGCGACTTCTAGTTTAAGTTGCCATATCTTAGGGGCTTGGTTGTGATGATCCCTCTATCGCGCCGAATCTTAAGCCCCGCCCGACATACGAACCTGGAGCCGCCAGCCCTGAATCTTGGCCGACTGAATAGCCTGATGCTGGCCGCCGGCATTGAAGAGCTGACCGCCCTTCAGTGCTGCTGCCTCTCACAGCTTCGTTTCTTGTTGACGGTTCCGGGTCTAGGAGCATCGCAACTCTGTTATTCTACCACCTTCATCCCAACCCAGCCCTGAATCCGTCACACCCCAAAAAGAAGCCTTGACCACTAGCTGCTAGCGCCAAGCCCCACAAGACACTTGCAAGACCCTTACGAACCCTGGCAACACCCTCACAGACCCCAGCCATGCCACAAGGGATTTCGATTTTCAGCTCGGGACTCTGGAGTTTAAATGGCCTGCAGTCGACGCCGAAACTCTATTATACAACATATACAAAGGTATCAAAGCCTCAGGCTGTTGAGGATAAGTGTGTCATGCCGAAGACTGGGTTGCTGGTTATGCTGCCACCGCAGGATTCTGTAGGCTTTGAGGCCCATGGTCGCCTAGCATGGCCTGCGAAGCCTAGACCGTGAGACGCAGGGCATGACATGGGATTTCAGAATCGGGCCCTCCACACAGTATGATGCCCCGTGACGAACAACCCCTACCAGGCCACTTCTCAATTTCAAGAAGCTCCCACTTTTGAATTCTTCGGTGCGGCCTCCTGGTCTTCTTTTCGGATCTTCCAATTACCTGGCAGACGGGGGTTTCCTACAGGGACCCCGGTTCAAGCTTGTGGAGTGCGCTGTGGGGAGTACCGACTGCTCCAGGAACCTGATCAAGACAGCATCGGTTCTGTTGAATCAGTGGGCCGATACAAGACTTACTGTAAGAACCCAAGAGCCAACGGCGTCTTCGCCAGGTTCCTTTACGCAACTCTACGTTTCTATGTCGGAGCGGGCTGATTCCACGAGATCGCCCTAAACCCAAACTCCAAAAACACCTAAACCCAAACCCTGAAACCTAAATCCCCAACCCCACGCCCCCGATCATTAAAATGTATGCCTGGTCCAAAAACCCTGAAACCTCACCTTGCAAGACCGAACCAAACAGAAACCGTTCAGGGTTTCGAGGGTTTCGATTCGCACAGTCGCACGGGGCAGGCACGGATTCAGGCAAAAGGTCCAACCAGTGCCGGCCCATGCACCGAGGATTTGGGAATTGTAGGGTTGGACTTTGAGGCTTCAGGGTTGTCCAGGGCTTAGATTTTGCCGCAGATGGCGTGCTTGGTGCTTCTTTGTGCGGGTGGTGGAGAGTGGGTGCAGGACTGCGGGTGGCTGCGGAGAACCCAGCCAGCACATGCTCTCGCATGCTAAACCCTTATCAAGTGCCGAGCTCAAGAAGGCAGAGCCTACGGTCCCACTAAACGGGTACATATGCCGCTCCCGCTATGGAGCGACACGGCTTGCCCCTCACATCGAGAGTTCAAACGGGAACTATCTAGGATTCAAGGGGAAATCAAGGCCACCAACAACAAAACAGGCAAAGTCTCCAGCCGACGGATACGTAGGGGCCTGTGGTGCAGTTGCGATACCGACAATAACACGACAGGCATTGGCATGGGCCATAGGGCTCTGCTCCGTCATAGGGTTTATTGTTTCTAAGTTCGAGTGCGACTTGTACTGCAGAGGATTGGACGACAGACTAGCTTAGCTAGCCATGCATGCAAACCCCGGCCCGCCTGTGATGATGACATTCTTCTTCGGCCAATCGGGCAGTGCTGGCCACCTGGGTGTACTTGGCTCTGCTGACTCCGAAAGTCTAACCCCCCGTAGCATCCAACAACCCATGTTACTGACCCTACTTGCTAAAGCACAAGAACTTCCAAAATTGCATTTGGGGGGGAGGATTATGGGTTGGTTCCCAGCTTTTAGACCTCAAACCTTCAGAAACAAATTGTGTGCCCGTTTTGCTGATCTGCTGATCTCTCCTTTTGTGGTGCTGCCCCACTCAGGGAGCCTGAGGGGGTGTGCTCACAGTTTAAGGTTTCTCCATGTTGAAGACGCTTCCCTGGTAGGACCTTGCCCAACAAGCCGCAGGATCCCTCAGCAAAAAGATGCTGTCGCACGCCACGAGCAAGATGCAGCATTCAAGTGGGTTTGAATCCTGAAGCTTCGGCACAGCAAAGGTGCGTGCTGCACAAGTACAGGAATCTCAACAGAATCTCACTAGTATGTCACAATTTGTGTGTTTTTCAGGTCTGGTTCGTCATTATCTAGACAAGCTCTTCTCACTCACCCTTGCATAAAAAACAATCATATCTGAATGAGGAAGCCGTCGCCAACTGTTGAAGATGTTTGCTAGCACATTGAATGCCTGGGTCTACTTCCTGATATCGATGTTCGGCTTCCCATGTTATGAAAGGCCTCAGGTTTCACTAAGCTCCAAACCTGAGTCCCTGGAGGGTCTAGTAGCTTCACTAAGTTGTGGAATGACCGCCCACCCCCCACACACACACCCTGTTTCCGAAATTAGTTACTCTATCATAGCACGACGAAGGCAACTAACAACTAGTTTCGAGTGCCATGCCCCCTGACCCAACCCTGTAGCTAAATCGCAGCCGTGCAGCCAGCCAGGGCTATACGCTAGCAATTTCGGCGATGCAGCCTCCTCGAAATGATCTAGGGGTTTATTAAGGTGTTTACTGTTGTGGTTCCTATGGAGTCTATAAGAGCTCGATAGTGATAGTGTAGTCCCGGCACGGAGTTTAAGAGCTTCGGTTCATATTATGTTGACTTCGAATGGGGAGGTTAAGGGAATACGTACCATCACGGAGCATTCAAATCCGCACGAATAGCTGTTTGACACCAAAAGTCCCGAACCACACGCCCTGCACCCGAGCCTCGAACCCACTGTCACCGTAAACGCCAAGCCCGAACTCTTAAAGGGATAAGAATAAGGTAACTATAGTTATATCTACTTTTATACCCTTAAATAAGGTACCTATAACCCTACTTACTATTGATAAATAGTTCAGGGGGCTTTGGGTTCCCAAACACGTGATCCTAAGCCAACCCCGACTTTCTATCGCACAGCCCCATCGCCGTGAACCAAAGGGCTTCGGGTTCGGGCTTAGGGGCTTCGTGGAGCTGCTGAAAGGAACGCACTTCTTGGTCCTCCTAGACATTGCTAGACCAAGAGAGCTGAAGATTTGAGGCAATCTTGCAAGTACATCCCAGAAAGCATGCCCTAAACCCTAAACCCTACCTCCCTGCATTCGTGAACAAAGGCCCTTAGGACCAGGGCCATCAGAAACACACGGTCTAGCCGGCAGGGGCAGCCCCAAACTGGCTTCAACCCTGCAACAGGGATATCCCAAATATAGCCGCAGCTGCAACCTCAAGGCTTGTTATGGGAGTTTCCGAAAATGTGGGGTACCTCATTTTGGGGTCCGTATAATCAGGACCCTACTATTTAGGGTGAACCTCTCGCTGCAACCTGAAGGCCTGTTATATCTGACTAACGCGTTTGTGCCGTTCCATGTCGGGCAGTTTGCTAAGTCAAGCGTTGGTGCCGAGTTCAACAAACTTTCTCGACTATGAGAGCACCAGTGGCACCCCAAGACCCTGTCGATGCGGGAACTCCAGGAGCATCATGGTCCTCCTTTATCATGGCACTAGTTAAGAAGCGGAACATCAGAACAGTCAAACCGAAACTCAAAGCACGCCGCACGTAAATCGGTCTAATTACAAGGACACTGCCCGGCAAACATACGCAATCACTGGGGACCTCAATGTTGAAGTTGTTCTCCCAAACCATCTGCGGATACAAAGACATGGGAATCCTGAGTTGCGCAAGTCCACCGGCCTTTTGTGGCAGTAACCCTTCAACAAGATGATGCGGCGATGTGCGACACGGTGGAAAAGCCGCAATGACAAAGGCCCTGGCGGCTTTCCTTCCGACATCAGGAACTTGCCTCAGCTTCTTGAAGGGAGTCATAAGGGTAAGAAGCTTCAACTGCTCATGAGTCTATGTAGGACCTATTAATTTACATCCGCCCCCCTGATGCTTCAAGTAAAACCTGTTGCCGCAGAAGCTGCCGCTGCAGAAGCTGCCGCTGCCCACTCGGATCCACCAGGAACAACTCTACAGCATGCTTTCTCTTTCGACCTACAAGCTATCATCGCAACATGTTCCCTTGTTTCAGAAGGATTAAACCTTACGACCGCGATATAGGATAGTACATGGGTAGTTCCCCGAAATACGCGCTGCCTGTTGCCTCAAAAGGATCCACTGTTTATCTATCTACAAGCGACGTTATACATGTATATAATGTACTTGCATGTGCTTTGTTTTGACAGGGGTTCTCCCTGAGGGAGAGGGGGAGAGAGAGAGCGAGAGAGAGAGACAGAGAGAGAGAGAGAGAGAAAGAAAACCATGGTGTTGGCTTTCTCATAGTAAACAAGGAACACTCGGGGATGCTTTGCAGATTGAATAGACCTGGCAAGGGAAAAATCGGTAAGACGGCGGGGGTGAAGACTGGTGCAAAGACCTCACACCGTAACCCTAATTCTTTACAGCCCTAAAGAACGCGCAAGCGACCACGAACTCAGGTCGGAGCAGGCATCAAAGGCGCCGGAGGCGCTTGTTTGGGCCTCCAGCACCTGAAGGCTTCACAGGGTTTGTATATATATATATATATAGGTATATAGAAATATCTGTATATATATACACACGTACATATACATACATATATATATATATATATATGTAAATGTGTATATATGCATACATAAAGAATGATATATAGAATGATATATATATATATATATAGAGGCAAAGAAATATAGTGTATTCACCGTGCTGAAGGCTCTTGAAACAGGTCTTCATGGCGGGGATCGGGTATCGTTCTGTGGAGGGCCAAAACCAGAACCGATGGTCGCCGGCATGTTCCTTGATGCATTGGGCTCTCTGGGTTACTTTACCCTTACCTCCTCTTTGTTAAAACTCGAATCCCTTGACCCTTTTGGCTTGCATCCGGGCTCATTCATTCAAGACCTGAAACTCCTAGATCCCTAAACCCTAAAGCCGTCTAGATCCTGAACCCGGGACCCTACGGACACCAAAATCCTGAAGCTTGTTCTGCACCCTATACGCCAAACCACCGCTGCCGGCTGAGACTGAGTCCCAAAGCTGCGGTTTGGAGTATGTTCCCGAAATCAACCTAAGAAGCCCTCCTGTTTCATACTGGGTGAAGTTTATGCTGTCAAACTGTACCAATGGGGCCTTAATCATTCGGAATAGGGTTCTGGTTCTGGGGAATACGGCACTACGACTATGATTATGTGAGGGACTGTAAGGAAACAGTACTACCAATGATTCCAGGCCCTCTATGCGACAAACCGCCCTAAAACCTGACTCCTTCTCTTGCACAGACGAGTTTCCGACAATAGGGGACCCTAATGTAGTACCCTTAATAGTAGGATCCCTATTGTAAGGACCCCAAAATGAAGTACTCCCAAACCCGCCTGGATCCCAGAGCTGCTGCACTCGTGGCTGTAAACCCAGGAAGCTCGGAACTGAGGCTCAGGCCCAAGAATGCAGTTTGGGTTGACCCGCTTCAAGCTCGAGCCGCTGCATGTTGATGGGCCTCGAAGAGAATTCGAGGAAACAAGCGGGTTCTGGGGTACAGCTAAAGGGCTTCGGGGTTAAAGTTTGCATGGACTTTGGGGTTCAATTTAAGGCATGGAATCTAAAATACTGATGAACAGTGATGCCGTCAGGTTGAGGAAACAAACACGACTTGTCATGACGGGGGTTCTCCGACACAGGCCCTGTGATTAGATGCTAGTAACGAAAGTCAGCCTTGTGCTAAACAGGAGCATAAAGACTCCTCCTTAAACCTAAAGAACAATCCATGCATGGGAGACACTAAGCAGACCACAGCAAGACATGGCTTATATGCTGTCCTAATTCTGTTCCCATCTCGCCCAAACACCGCTCAACCTGCAGTCTCAAATCTTGGCCTGCTTTGAACTTTGGACGAAATGGGAGTTTCCGAAAATTAGGGGGTACCTTATTGTGGGGGTTCTTTATAATCCGGATCCTACTATTTAATTAAGGTACTGGATTAGGGTCGCCCATGTTCGGAAACTCCCAAAGTTGCGGCCACCGTTTACGTCGTGCTCGTGTGGGGTGTGGAAGAACCAACGTCGGGAATTCAGTTGCGGCATGTCAGCGCCGTCAAGGCTACACCATCCAAACAGTCTCAATTTGAGACTCAGACTTTCAAGGCTTGACTCCAAGCCCTGCGCAAACAAGCACAGCAGTTGCTTGGAGTACGTACCTGTCTGTTTCTTACACCTATGAGCAATGAGCAATAGCAATACTTCGAAGTTCCCCAGGTACATGTGCAAGTGCTGGGACTTTCGCCTGCGTGCGCGCGGCCAAGCTAGGCCGAAAACATGTATCCGAGACCCGGGCGTGATGTAATTGGTTGGAATGCAATGCGGCCTGGGGCACAACACTCAGGAAGACATGGAAACGCAGGACATGCGGTAGAGACAAAGATAAGCAGCCCAAGGATGCACACGGTTCACACAAAACGTTCTGAAGCTGCAGCTGGTACGTTGCCATCATCGCGGGAATTTCCGGATGTTTGTCAGTGTACCTTCACAGGAACCCCAACTCAACTCGCAGAAAGATTGCCTTGCAGTTTGCCCCGCTTCTAGAACTCATCTCAAGCCCCAAACTCGCCCAGCCGCTACGGAATTTGTGACGCGCACGGCCCAATCTTGCCCTGCCCCAGGGCCGGAGACATTCCTAAACCTGAAGCCCAATGTTGTCCAGGCACGGTGTGACGAGGCCGCCAAGCAAGGGTGTCCTTGGATATGGGGTGTGGACATTCAATTTCTCCTGGGGCTCCGACTTGGGCTACACGAGTCACACAACATTACAGTGGATCTGCCCCTGGCGTGCTGGGTGGCATGCCAAATCAAGACATCTGGCTTGAACCTTGGGCGTTTCGAATGTGCATGGGGCATACGAAGAAACCGCACAAAGGTTCGTGCTTGTCGGCTTCTTGTTCAAAGACTTCCGCCCAATTCGTCGACCTGCACACGGACACATGCATTACAAGACTCGTCAGCCATCACGGCTTAAACAGAACACATCAGCAAAAGACTGCAAGCAACCAAACGCACGGCGCACGTGTCCATGTCATCCGCAAACTCACCCGCCGCTGCCACCAGGAGAAGATCGCCTGCAGTGGAGCATCGCATCTACCACGCCACATGGTGGCTTGGTTACGAAAACCCAACATTTTCAGACCCAGACCCTTCTCCATGGCCCTCATGCCACGCTCGGTGGCCAAAAAGTCCTGACGATGTAAACTTCTTGTTCTACAGCACTCAGTTTTGGCCCCGCAAACTTCCGCGGAGCTCTCCTTGATCTCGATGGACACAGGTGCCCCTTCCAGGCCAAATTCCTCTGCCATCCTTGCGTGACAAGCCGCCACGCATTAGAAAGTGCATCCGAACGGTTTTGCGCGAGAGCGCTCTCGCATAAAGGTAAGTTGATGACCGCGCTTCGATGCCTATCTTGTTGGAAGTTGGTATTGGGCAGCGCGTTCATGGGACATGAACCCACAGATCTTATCATCACTGCTGCAGCATTGGCCGAGCGCCCGTCTTGACATGCCCGGGGTTGGCGAAGAATTTCACCTGAGAAGAAAACACCATGGAGAGTGCACAACGTGCTCATCGATGCTGAATTCAAGCTGGGGTGCTGTGTGACCAGCTTTGACCTGGCATCTGCCAACAGAAGCATTTCTTCTATGCCATGCATGGACAGGACGGGAAAAATGCTCCTGAGGTGGCGGCCAAGCCAAGCCCCAGAGATAGGCACGGTTGAAAATCTCCGCGGGTGCCCTGTGCCAGCACGACTCAGCATGTACATCCAATCATGTCGACAGTGTAGTGCTGCCACGAAGCCTGCGCACATATCGCGAATCGATATGGGCCTGCCGTTGAAACATGCTAAGCCGGTGGAGCATGGCTTGCCACCAATATTAACCGTTCGTGAGGATGTGCAAACCCCTCCAGCCTGGCATGGTAGTAGCCAAGCGCTGCTCGCGCAGCTGCCGCGGTCAAAATGGAAACCCGTCCTATTTTCTAACCATTCTACAGCAAAAGGAAAAATCTTAGAGCCCAAATGCCAAGGTGTGCGCGCCTGATGCTCGGCACCAGAAACAGCAGCCGGTGACGGTGCATGACGGTGCCGGGCACAAAAAACAATGGTTTTCATACCGCACAAAAAAAACTAAACTTCCGCCAGGTCCCCAAACAGCGCGACGGCCGAGGCTCATTGCTGGTCGTTCTCTGGTCGTTTGTGCTGAAACCGGATCGCAAATGTGCGCAATGTCGACGGGCGGCGCCTGACCGGGTGCACCGATACATCCCACTAGAATCTGCTAGCCAGGGCTCCGGGTTGAGGGCTTACTTGCAAGGTTTTTTGCCCCCTGCACTGCCGAAAGGTTTAGAGTTCAGGATCTAGGACCTCGGAGCCATGGATGTTTTCGGTGAAGCTTTCGGGAGTCGTTTCGGGTGTTAGGTGTGAGTTGGGTATGCGTGCTTTTCTGTCTGCTTCAAGAGCTTGGGAAACATGGAGTATCTGTGCATTAATTATGAGGTTATGGGTAGAGTTTCAGGTTGATGATATAGAGTTTCGGAATTAACACTCAGCCTCTTTGCCGTTCGTCTCTATTTGCACACATGCTGCATATCGGGAACACTTCTGCGCAGAGTCTTCATTGCTGAGGCGTGAGCTGTGTAGAAGCCTGGATTTTCCGGAACTTTGGTTCCGGATAAAGAAGCAAGACCTACCCAACCCAGAAAACCCGAGACGTAGCTTTACTGGTTTATAGTGTAAATCTTCATAGTCAGGGATTGTGTACTTTATTGTATGAACCAAGGCCTCTGGGCAAATGTGGCTATGTGCACCGCGCCTTGGCCCTGCGAAGCTGAATCCCGAAATCATGTCCAACAGCATATGCAAAGTCTCCTCTGGCAACCATTTCCGAACTTCCGTGAATCTCAAACAAAACGGCAACCTCAGTCAGTCGATCCTCAGCTAGTACCGGGGCACAGGTAGCGTTGGCAGTGCCAAAAAAATTCATCGCCATTGGTTGGCCACGTCAATCCCATAACTTGGAATTGCATTCGCAATCGTATTTACCCTGAAACCTGCTTGCTACACAACCAGCACCCGGAAGCTCTGACATGTGTGTCCTGCACCTGCCCCGCCTGGGAGTCGTAGCTCGGGTCTTGATACCCGCGCCACAACCACACGCCGACAGCATCTCTCGAGAGCATCAGGCAGTCGGAATACAACGACAACTGCGAGGACGACAACGACCACGAACGACTACGGCTGCGACTATCCTTGTTCTGCCGCTGCTACAACCACAACTACAACTACGACCACGACTGCTGCCATGCAGAACGTTGCCACTGTTGCTACCAGTAGAAGCTGCTACTGCTGTCGCTGCGTTGCTGCTTCTATTCTACTACACTACTTCGACGATGCTGCTACTGCTGTCACTTTGTTGAATACAACATGAGTCCCTGGAAGTTTGATGCTTGCATTTGGGGGACTTCCCTGGCGTGGTGTAAATGACAAGGCCTTAATGAGGTAGCCAAGCTGTGGATCAATCTGAATGAGCATGTCACGGTAAGGAGGCTCAGTGCATGTTGGTCGTTCACCAATTGTCCCTCCCGCCACCATCAATCCTGGCCTCATTTCTGCTGCTGGGCCTGTCTCGACAAGTAGAAGTGGTGGGAAAACCGTGTCCTTCAAGGGGGCTAGAAATCCACCACCACTGCTTCAATCTTGAAGGGCACTGAGCCTTCAAGTGTGCAACACGCGCATCCTCCTTTGGAGGGCTTCATCGGCACCACAGATTGTGGCAAGTGAAACACCCTGAGAAGATGATCAACCTTTCGCAACGAAGTGGATGGAAGAAATCTGTCTGAATGAACTAATCACTCACCAAGGATTGTCATCTTCTGCAGAATCCGCTGCCAATCTACATACCTCAAAGCAAAAGCCGCCGCTGTGGACATCAGTGATGCGATTGCCGTAAATTGCGCAACAGTGAGTTCCACACCAGCGATCCTCAACACCAGAGCCGCATCTAAACGCAGCCTCTGCGCAATCGACTCGGTCAAACCGATGGCGTCACGGAGCTCCTCTACACGTGAGGCCTGCTCCGGCTTGCCTTGTATGCACAGCAGATATGCGCGCGACTCCGTCGCGTGGCCCCATAATAGATCCACTGTGCGTCGTCTCAACATATTGGCCCGGAGGCCGACGAGAAGTGGGGGCAACGAAAACAAAAGGAATGAAATCAGAACAACAAGGGTCTCACAGAAAAACACTCCAGGCTTCCAGTTGGGATCCATTGTGTACCAAACAAGCATTCCTGCCATTGTAAAAACTATGAAAACATTGACTGCCAGACCAACCTCCGCCACAAACTTTCGGCGCTGCGTGCTGGCAATGAAGAAGCTGTAGAGCTCATACCACGCTGCCATGTCTTTCACGTTGCCCACGCCGACGCAAGGAACTCCTTGTTCAGAAGAAGCCTTTGGGCCCATCAGCATCGACTCGAAAATCCTGTAGGCATTGGCCATATCGGTCATCAACGACATCATTCGCCATGGGACTACATAGAACAAAGTAATTTGGAAGCTGAATGCGTAGAATGTGAATATGACCGACACAGCTTGACACCAGCCGTTATCAGGCAGGCGGAAGTTTATCTCGCGATCTCGCACAAAATCAGGTGCAAGTGCTGCAACGCAAGCCAAAACGAGAGCGGCAATGTGGAGAAGGTATCTGGTTCCTATCGCGACTTTGTCCAGCATGCCCGCCTGTGACGGCCAACCAATAAGAAACTGCTCTGCCATCACATCCAAAGGCAAAGCACCGTCGCGAAAATTTTTGCGGTATGCGGAAGTAAACTGGTTCCAAAAGTCCAATGGTGCCGCCCTCTTGGCTCCATCATTGAGGATCCAGGGCTCGCACATGCGCATGCGTGAGAAGTGCCGCAAGAGCGACTCATGCGCGGCAACGTTGATCTTGCGGTAAAGTCTGCAAAGCAAGTCTACTTCACGAACCACTTCCGGATCGTGGTCCCTGACCAACTTCCTTCGGATTGCGGAACATGTGTGGTCAGATGCAAAACCTACAAAGCTTTCAAGCCTCATCTGAGTCAGCTTGAAGAGGAGCTCCTCGTTCAGAGGAAGCTCCCGCAGCCGTTGACCCACTGCCAAATGATCAACGTCCGCGGCTTCATGCGAAACCAGATTGAATTGTGCAGAGGAAGCCAATAGGGATGCAGCACTGAAGGCAAAAGGCAAAAACACCTCTGTCAGGGAGACTTGTTCCCGATCTTTGCCCGCAAGGATGTATGCCAGCACGCTGGAATTCACAACCAGGGGCATGTACACTCCACGGAACATCCATCGCGATTTGCTCACAAAATCATTCCACTCATTTATGGCATCTGCGCGGCTCATATTCTCAAATGTGCCAGCCGCTGCAAGGCGACACAGAGTGCGAACCACTACAAAATAAAAATAAATCGGCTGGGTGACCTTCAATACAAAATGAGTAAGAATCGAGCACACATCAGGCTGGAAATGCGCGTTGTGGAACTGATCGGCTAGATCGAGTGCGTTTCCCATGTTGGATCCTTCATAACAGTAAGCGTAAAAACAACCATCGTGGTTCGCCACCAACATCCGGTCGCTTGCAGTGCCCTCGTCCTCGTCGGTGCCGCCAACAACATCCTGAGAAACCGGTTCTCCATCCCCAGTGCCTGGAGCCTTTTGAATGATATCAACCATGTCAGGTGTAAGAACTGCTGAGTCAAAACCAGATGCAGATGCTGCTATAGTTCTGGCTTTCGCTGCTCTTCCGATCTTTGGACGCTTCTGCACCTTCTTTTTCAATCGTATCGGTTCTGGCTCCTGAAAAGGAAAGCCGATCGTCTGTGGATCATTCTCCATGGGGCGGGATCAATAGGTAGTTTCGCTAACCTAAGCCGGCTTTGGAACCTGGCAGGGTCTTTCAAATCACGGTCCCCTGTTGCCACGAAGACTACTGAACACCTGAAATGGGAATCTTCCGCTGACACTACAGTCTGCTGCTGATTTAATTTGCGCTGGTTTGCTTTCAAGACATGACTGTACAACATGGAAACAATCGAACAAACGCTAAATGAAATCGCCGAGCAGAAGCCGTAGCTTGCTCGCGACCAGACCTGTTCTTGCTGGGGATTACCAACTTGAGCTACTAGGCGACCTAGCGATCCGCGGGCGAAAATCAACACGAACTGTCGTTGTGTGCAGCTAGGTTGCCAATATGTCCGCACAGCACTGGCAGGTTTTGTGTCTGTCCGTTTTGATTCTGCGAAACCACCTACCAAAATTCAAGCGACCCTCAGAGCAAGGCAAGGTACAGTACGAGTGCACTGGCATATTGCACAAAAACTTACCTGCCCTTCTGCAACCTTCTTAAGAAAAACTTGTCTCGGGCGCAGCATGTTCAAGTCTGCTGCGGAGCATCGTGTTGACATCCCGCGCACGTCTGCGGAAGAATACGCGCCTTGATGCAATTTTTGTTTTTGCTCGCAATCGGAGGCAATGCTGGCCAGCGAGGGTCATCACGGCTCTGGGGTCGGATTGGCCAGCACGGCCCGGTGGCCGCCGGGCTGAGCCGGCTGCCCCTGTGCAGCATGTAGCCAGTGTGGCGTAGTCGTATGCCGGCCAGAACGCGTGATCGGGCAGAAAAAAAAAAGAACGGTCCTCGCGCACGAAACTGCAGAGCCCTGCGGGTGCCGACGCAACGAGTGCAACTCCAAGGCTTAAGCAAACCGAGCCAGCAAACGACTGGGCTCCGGAGTCGAGAAAATCCGTGCATCAACCACGACCTCGTGCAATGCGGCTACGGCGCACTGGGCAGCCATAGCCTGCTTACCGTGGCCCGGCAGCTCTCGCAGCCTGGTGCGGGGGAGCCGACGATCTCGGGGTCCCGGCGCGTGCAAGGAGGCTTGGCTCCAAGGGCTCCCTTGTTCCTTAATTGTCCCCTGGGCAGAACACGACGATTAAGCAACGGCGGGCATGCAGGAGCTCCGGGAGAGTTTCCCGCTTTTCTTCCATCTGAAACGGTGAACAACAACCCAAATTTAAATTCAGCCCTGGGCAGAAGCGCACGAGGAGGGACACGATAGTGGCATCGACAAGCTGGGCACCATGCGCAAACACGATCAAAAAAACATGCGCTCTAGCTTCAATACATGTGGGTAAGTACAAAAATCCAAAAGTCATAGCTCGTGTGTATTTTGTTTGATGCGAACCTTTTCGTGTTCAAACATATCCCTATGTAAAGCGTGAAAGCCGTGTCCATATGTGTATATATCCGTAGCTAAAATAAAACGTAGCATGTGCGACCACCGGCTGTATCTTCCACCGATCCGAGACTGCAAATTGTTTCAAGTGTGGTCGCTCAGTATAGTTTTCTCGAATTATGTTTTCTTGTATTTTTTGCCTCCTGCATGGCTCATCCGACGAAGCAGGGTAATGGTTGTACACTCCTGTGAATTCCTCATCATGCTCTGTGCTGTGTCAGAGTTTGGATGGGGCTCCACTATCACAGTGGGCATGCACAACATACAACTTTCCAAGTTCTGGAAAGTTGGACTCGAAGTCATTGACGAGCATACTTCTCAACTGTCAGCAAAATGCCGTTTTAACCGTCAAGGGAGCAAAGCTCGAACATCACATAACTCCTTGCAATTTAGCAGCATACCACGCATCTTCTGCATTCAATTATCAATTACAAATTTCATGCAAGCCCGTCAGGCCAATTAACGCAGTCACAAGCGTATCAGCGGCCTGCAGACAGGTCAAACTGTCCAGATTCCACTATGCGGACTTCAGTCTGTTTCACCTGTATGTGCATTCAACTCGTGCCGAACCATAAAGGGGCAGCAAAAGAGGTACAGTCCTCATGCCAGGGGACTGGGTTTGTCAGCGGTTAACTGCATGCTTGAACAACAATGGGTACGGCTTCAATGCATATTGCACGTCACCGACTCTTGCTCTCAACATTCCACCATGTTAGATTTCAAGCAATTGTCCAATTGCAGTCTTTGATTCGTCGTGAAAGTCCTGTCGCTTTGCCTGCTTCCTCCGGAAAGCAAAACTCGTCCACCAGCATGGCACTACGTTTTGAATCGCGGTTCCGGGTTGAACTGGCAGACTGGCTCCATGATCACATAAGCAAGCAACAATGCTTGGCTCCAAGTGTTGCCAAACAATAGGTGAATTTTGAACCACGACGAGCTCCGCAACACAACACAATTGTTACACGGAAGGCTCTGCAACGAATCTGCTGTATGTTCTGTCCATGTAGCGCAAATCAAGCAACCAAGCAAGCACGATTCGTCGGGGAATCACAACAAAGGTGCAAATAAATGTGACGAAAACATACAAAAACGCAGCCAGCACACAAACCGCGCGCTCTTGCTTTACAACCAGGGTCATCCTCTTCCAAGACGTGGTTTACGATTCTAAGGCGTGCGATGCCCCGAACCACTGCAATCGCAGCAAGATGTGGGGGCACACGGGGGTACACAAACCATCCTCTCTTGCAGTGTTGCCAAATGTGTTTGTCTTCTCGGTTTTTGGATTCGTCGCTTTGCACGCAAAAAACCGGCGAAACACCTCCACGCCCCACCTGCTGTGGTATGTGCAAAAAGTAGTGCAACTTTGGGGAATTAGATCGGACATCCACAGTGCGCATACTGATGCATGTGCACAGCGGTGAAGAACCTCCATCGCGACATCGCCCACGAGCTAAGCGCGAGCGTTCCGCCGGTTGTTTGGATGTACGACGGCGAATCCAAGAACCGCGAACCAAACAAATTTGACAAGCCTGCTCGAAAGGCTTGTGTGTGTACCGCCAGTCCAGCTGCAGTTGCAGTGGTTCGGGGCTTTACGGCCCTAAAACACAGCCTGGCAAAATTCACCGTGTTTGCAATTTCGAGTGTGTCCTGCTTGTCGTGTTTGTGTAGTCTGCTTGCATCTTCTTTCGCCGACCTGGTAGCTGTGTGATTTTTTTTCACACACCTTTTTCCAGCTGATTGCTGTCCGGGATGCCAATGGCAGTATCCTGTCACACCGCCTGGCCACGCCTAGCAAAAACCTACGGCCGGAGCGGCAGACGACTCGCCCAGGCGCCTTCGGCAAGGTCCAGCCTGTCCAGGCTGGGCAGTCGGTCCTGCTTGTGGCAGGGCCGGCCACGCGCGACCGAGGGCCGTGCCCGCTACGGCTTGTTGGACTGCGATGGATACGATGCCTTGCCATCGCTGCGACCAGCCTCCGGCAGCAGCGGCACGGACAGCAGGCGGTGCTCTTTGCGCACGGAGGCGGACGAGATCGCGCAGGAAGCGGAGAGCCTGCGCGTTCCATCGCCCTCCGACCTCGGTCCCCAGCACGACCAGGTGTTGGGGCCCGCCGCGCGTAAGCTCGGGGTAGGCTGCCTGCTTGCGACGCTCTGCGAAACGCAGCACTGCGCCATCCGTTGCGTCCGCGCACGGCTGCGGGTGCCCAGCGGCGACAGGAGTGTCGCCTCGCAGCAGAGCGCTCCCCCGTTGGACGTGGCCCCATACACGACCATATCGCGGTGAGGTGTCGGCGGTCGTCAGATCGCACGCCTGGGGCCGTTGTGTGGGCGAGCCGCTGCTGTGGCACGACCTGGCCTTCTGCGCCTACTGCTTGTCTCGCCACGCGCAGCCAAGCGCGTGCGACCACTTTGGCCCGCCTAGCCAGCAGTCCTGTCCGTGGACAGGCGAGCGCGTGGTCTCCCGATGCATCGACGGTTTGACCACACCCTGGATTGGGGCCGCACCGATAGGGGCTCAGGGGCAGGGGTAGTCGCAAGCGACGGCGCAGTGCCAGATGCATGGCCTGTGGAGTCAAGGTTGTGCTTGGCTCGCTGGGTATGGCGGCAGACCATGCCCCTGCGTGCGGTCCGGCTTGTGAGCGGAGCATGGCTCGAGAGCTCGGCGGCAGGGCCGGCAACAGCACGCGATTGCGATCATTTTGGTTGCGAGTCCGCATCGCGTGAAATTGCCAGCCATGTGGCCAGTCACCAGGGCCTGCATCCGTCGGGCGGGCGGGCCGCTCGCCTTCCAAGATAGCTCGCCAAGAGGGGCAATCGTTCCGCCCCTCGTCTTGTAGGATCCTGCGGGCGTCGTCCGCTTCGTGAAAACACGGAGCAGCGTCAGCTCCTCGCTCCAACTCTCGGAGGTAGCGGTTGGCGCACTCCGGGAGTCGCGTGTGGATGACGGTCAGTGCATCGACCCATGCTGCCCAGTAAGAAGCGGGAACAGTCCGCGTGGCTGATTGCAAGTCGAGGCCGCCGAGTGCGGCAGGGAGTGTCGCAAGTTCGCGGGCCTGTTTGTTTCCAGTTCGGGAACCCCACCCAGACATGCCTGCAACGTCTGCCACATTGCCTCGTCGTGGGCCGTGGCGTATGCGGCTGACATGGATGGAGGCATGGTGCGGATGGCGTGGTTTGCCCGCGGCGCCGCACACATGTGCAGGAGCAACCATGCACAAATTGGAGGTCCGGCAGCTGCGGCAAGTGGTCCAGCAGCTGTTGCCGTGGATGAAGTCCGGATGGCCAATGGGTGAACCCAGAACGACCACTCCTCGCTCAGCAGGCGGCTTATCGCCCCACCAAACATCGTCACCGAGTGCAGCGATGCCTGCATGGGGGAGGCGGTCCTGGCGCGGAGGCGATGGCGCGGCTCTTGCCCAGATTGGACAATATGCCGCAGTGCGTGGCCACCGCCGCCACGGTCGTGTCCAGCGCATTGCGGGCACGGCCTGGGGTGGTCACGACGTACAAGTCATCCAAAAACGCAACGAGGCTGTCGTCACGGTGCAAAGCCTCGGCTGCGCGGACGAGCGCATCGTGCTGTCCAAGCGCAAACAATGCC